CTGACTCGTGCGTACGCAACTGCTCCATAACCAACCTCTGAAGCATCACTGAACAAGTGCAGTTCCACTTTCGCATCGGGTTCGTCGATTCTCCTCTTGATACCTCGAGCTACCGTGACGTGACCTATCTGACGCATAAAACTTACCCAGCCTAGCCACGCGGACAGGTATGGCTCGTTGAGAGGTTGATCCCAGCCTATTTGGGACCTACATAATTTTTGCAAGAGAAGTTTGGCAGTAAGACAGACTGGAGCAATTAGACCCAGAGGATCGAACAGAGAAGAAACTATAGATAGAATACCTCTCCTAGTCAGAGGCCTTTTCGGTGCATCAAAGTAAAACTTAAACACATCTTGTTTAAAATCCCATTCTACACCTAGGGTTCGATGAGTAGTGTTGTAATCCATTGACATTTCTATCAAGGACTGTTCTTTACATACATCAGGCAAGATGTTCCTTACCTCCTCCGAGTTGGTAACACATTTCTTTAGTTTGAAACCTCCTCTACATAATAATTCACTTATCTGCTTAACGAAACTCTTTGCTTGATCACAAGTGGGAAAAGATACCAAGCAATCATCAACATAGAAATTATTCTTAACAGCATCTACGACATAACCATCATAACCGTCAGAGAATATTTGGGCCGTCTTATTCAAGGCAAAGTTCGCGCAAAACGGCGATGATATGGCGCCAAATGGATGAGATGTCATTTGGAACTCGGATGGCTTTTTCGACATGTCTCCCTCCTGCCACCACAGAAATCTTAAAGCTCCTCGATCAGACTCAGGGACCTTCACTTGCATGAACATTTCTTCAACATCCGCAGATATTGCGATTGCTTCTTTGCGAAAACGCAATAATATACACACTAACTCAGCAGTTGTGTCGGGTCCTTGATAAATCATATCGTTTAGAGAAACGCCTGCAAACTTCGCGGCACAGTCAAGGACTACTCTTAGTTTTTCTGGCTTTTTCGGGTTTATAACTGCATGGTGAGGCAAGTACCACCGGGGGCGATAACTAGGTTGCAATTGTAGTTCAGGGATCTTCTCCGCATAGCCCTTAATAAAGTTACTTTCAATACCTTTTGTATACTTGATATACAGAATGTCATCTTTCAACAATCTACGCTTCAAACTCTGTAGTCTACTGCTTGCCACTTCATAATTCTCCCCTTTCATATTTGGGTTCACTTTCCATGGTATAGGAACTACAAAATGCCCATTTTCGAAGCGTGTGCCCCCTTCCACAATCCTTATAGCCGCCTTATCTTCTAGTGATACTGATTTATCATTTGAATAAACATCAGAAAACTCTACATCATAAAGTTTACGCATGTCGTTCTCCAAGGTTTGTATCTTACTGGTATGATTGACCACTCTTTTCCTATATTCCGGATACGACGCAGGTCCGAAGACCGTCCAACCCAGCAACGTCTTCACAGCGTACGGGCTTTTTCTTCCACCCAACCGCTGGTCTAACACCCAGTGTGCTTCTGATACGTCGCAACCAATCAACAGCAGAACTTCTTCAGAGTCGAAGTCATCTATTGGTACATCCCTTAAATGTGGCCACTTAACTAGGTTGTTCACTGCCGACCTTGTTGGCTTATGACCTGGTATACCTGCCACAATCAGAGCTCCTTCGATCGTAACATGTCCTGACCGATCTAGAGAATATACCTCAAAAGGGGTCTTTGTGACCGTCATTATACTATTACCACCCACAGTCTCTACTACCACTGACGCTCGGTCTTCCTTCAGCCCGAGATACCTCAAACAGCTCGATTTTATCAACGTTACATCAGACCCGTTATCCAACAAAGCATAACCTACCATTTCGGCATCTCCCAACATCAACCGTACAGGGATCATTCCTAGGCACACTTGGCTACTTAGGGATTTAGTAAATCCACAACAATTCGGGATATCAGATTTATCATTTTCGCTGTGCAGCAAGGAATGGTGTTTCTTCTCACAACCATTAACGTTACAACGTTTCACCAGCTTACATTCATTAACTTTGTGCCCTTGCCTAAGGCAGACAAAACAGATGCCATTAACTTTTGCTTGAGACCATCTCTCTTGAACCGTAAGCGCTAAAAATTTTGAACATTTATAAATACCATGGTCCTGGGAACACACCCTGCATTTAGCTCTCGAGTTACTCTCCTGCTCTAATTGCAAGTGACAATTTGTCTTTAAGTTGTGTCCCTTCCTCGGACGATTCGCTAACCGTCCAAACCTACTGTTATCTACTCTCGCGCGGGACGCTATAAATTGGGTAAGCTCTTCAAAAGTCGGTTCTCTATTATCTTCCGTCAATTGATCCACCCGATCCGCCCACTGGGCTTGCATAACTTGAGGTAATAGTCTTACTACTCTTTCCAAAGTAACTAACGAATTTAGATCAGAGGTATAATTCATCTGTTCTAAGACCATAGCGCAGTTTTCCATTTTAATGGCCAAGTTTGATAGTTGCTCCCCGTCAGTATAATCAAAATTAACAGCATTAAATAAATCTTCTAATGTTTCTCGAGCGATTACATGAGACTGTCCGAACAAACGCTTTAGAATTTCCCTTGCTCTCTTATAACCAGAGGATGCTTCCATCATGACACAACCCTCAATAGCTGTCTTCGCCTTGCCCTTACAATAGTGCATGAGATAGAGCAAACGTTGGCTATCATCGGTGACTCTTGATGCTATATACGTCTCAAATTGCCTTATAAATTTCCAGTATCCTTTTGGCTCTCCATCGAAATAACTCAATTCAACCTTTGGTAGTTCTGGGCCAACAACCGGCGCTAAAGGCAACATGCTCTTTCCTAGTAATTCGAGCCTTTGTTTCTCCTTTAAAATAAGATTTTTTACATCATCTGTCATCGAATTAAGACTAGAGTCACTACTATGATAATCAACCCTATTCGAGTCTGAACCATGACACTTAAGGACATCGAAAGGCACTTGCTTGGTAATAGGGGATTCTTCATTAACATCAACGAACTTTGAGCTTGATTTCCTTCGACGATTAGTTGGCATTATAAGGGAAACGACCAATTATTTCCAGAAACGATAACCAAAATCCGCGAACGATTGCCAAATGATTTCTGCCAAATAATATTTGTTTAGAACTGTAGGATCCAAACCACGGTTTGGATGTTGAGGAATAGCCGACTGAGGACCTTAGACACGCGCCTTATCCCGTCGAAATCAAAACAAGTAATCGGGTAAATAGCGGTTCTATAATTCATCATAAATTTAAATAAATCGTTGCCTAAACAAATATTACCACCCGGCTATTCAACCAATGATTGTTCAATCAATCAAATCTAAATTACAATAAATAAAGAAGTTGATAGAAGATGAGGAAAAATTACCAGTTACAACAAATGAACGTTATTCTATCCTGACTGGATAGATCACACACAACAGGAGGAGCAAATCAATATGGCCACCGCCATGAACAAGTGTCAAGAAAAACAACACGGATGCAGTTCAGGAAGAAACACAAACTTAGTGAATGCGTAATAAAAACAAAACTATAATAAAAATACAAGTATAAACAATTCAAATGTAACCAAAATACAACAATGTACAACTAAGGGGATCAATAGGAACAAAGTACAAGTATATAAATGGAGGGATTTTCACCAACACACAAAACATTCAAAATGGATCTTACACCCATATAGTAAGGAAAGACGACCAGACGCTGCTACACTTAGTAAGCTATCAGAAGAGTGTTTACCAACGACAAATTCGTTGGGTTTAAACTTCTGGCTGGCCACGTCTTAGGGACATCACTGCCCCACTAGGGGGGGAGTGATCTGTAGCGGCAAATAAATCCCTAAAATAAATAGCTCTGTAAGTTTTCGACATTGGATGCTGACCATATGTTTTAGTGGACTCATCTAGCTGAAGGCGCTCGGTCAGGCATCCACACCAGATCACGTGTGTTAACGCCGTGCTCAACATCAACCGCAATCGCTAGCCAGATTAGATCAGAGAATTCCGATATATTGGTCATCGCCAAATATACTCTTCCGATCTCCTCGACTCTGTCTTTTGATTTCTCTGGGTGGGAACGAAATATATTAGAAGGTGTTACTGGTAGAAGCGTTGTCAAACACTGAATACCTGTGACATCATCATCTGCATCTAGTTTAAGTATGATATCGCTCACTTGTCCTATCATATCACTCGGTAGCGCGAAGTGTGTCTCATTGAATTTTATTGCTTAACTGGTAATTTTAAGGGCTTCAAAGTGTCCCCACATTTAGAGAAAAATAATACAGAGTTGCTTGCCTTAAAGGCTGACACAGGTATAGATGAGTATCCAACGCTTTAGCAAAGGTAGAAATAGAAGATTCTTGAAGTATAACGGCAAAATAAATGCATAAATTGAAGTAATCGTTGTGATGGGAATGAGTGATCAACATGTGAAAGATAAAAATGAGCACAGGATTAGGATTACAAATGTCAGCTGAAGCACAAAAATATAGTATAATAGTCAAAATGGTAATGTATGTATGGTCATGTATTCTTCATGAGATCAGTTACGCGTATATTGAATGTTACAGTACGACGCAGAGATGTATTCCCCGTTTGTTTATAATACTAGGTGTTTGTCTTTTTCATAGGTTCATCACTTGTGTAATGTATGTGGGATGTGTCTATGACTAAATTATGGTTATTCTAGATCCGAGAGTATCTTTTAAGTAAACGATAACTATGATCGCCATAGCATATTGTTTGATCAGGAATTATATTTTTAATTCGAATCAAGCATACTGGCAAGCCAAAAATTTAATAATGGAACATAATCACAAAAGTTCATGATGCATTCAAACAACGAGAGCGTACAGTTAATAAAATTTCAAATATGTTAAGAAATACACTTAATGAATTTTCTACATAATTTCAGCTTACTCATAGTAATGAATTTATAGAGACAGGAAATAATTGCATTGAATCAGGTGTTCTTAAGAGGGGTTTAGTTATACTTTGTTTTAGTGCATGTCACTCGTTACGAATTTGTGCTTGTTTTGACAATGGAAGAGTCAGCCAGGTTAGATCTTTTACCGTTTCTGTATCAATCGGATTACTGGAATTAACTCAATTACCGCATAAACTTTGCACACACCCCAATAAAATTCATGTAGAATCAGCCGTCTCGATATCAGGTCTGCCGACGATTCGTTGTATAAAACTAAGCTGGGATCTGTCATTCGATCCCATATGATCCTGAAGCTCGTTTGCATCATTGGTTTAAAATCAAGGTTTTTCAGCTCCGGGCAGGTCGTCTGTAACAATCAACTCGGCTGAGTCACTAGACGTTTTCTTGAACAACGCCACCGAGATACTCATTGTTAAATGGCAATGAACACGTAAGCTTATGAGAGGGTTTCAAGAAAATTACGTTTCCCCTACTCCTGACCAGGGTATTTCGGCACGCCAAGTGGCAAAACCCTGTTAATTCTGAGACTCGGTAATTTGTTTATGGGCACAATAAAGGTAATTTGGGGTAATGTCACCATCCTAATGTTTCAGTTTCGGTGGCTTGGACATGTGTCGCGAATGTCACTACATCAACTTCCACACCATAGGTTATTTTCTGACTTCGGAAAGGATTAGTAAGAACGAAGTAATAATCAGTTTACGCGTTGACCTCTTGGTTTCGAGGAAAGCATAAAATTGACATCCCTTCGTTCCTCACTACTCGCTAGCTGAAATCAGGGTTGGTGCGATTCAGTGACTTAAAATGTCATTAGACAGTGAAAGCCAATGGGGGTCTTGCGTTAGTTCACCTTAACATAAAATATAGGGCAACTCCTATGACCATTGGAAGGCTCTTGGTTCTTAATTGTACTTCCTGCTCCATACTGTCCTCGCGTATTTATTTCGTACATTTCTCTGTCCGAATGTACTCCTTTTTTATGCCAACCCTAGAATTGTATGGTACATCCCATCTTTGATGCTTAGTTGTACCAGATTTGTGTATGAACAAAGTAGGTCAGTGGTATTTCCATAATCAGATATTGTGATTACAAGTGAGATTTGAGCCATTTATGGAATAAGGTTTGTCTCTTTAAGATAAAAGGCATTGGTACGGCTCCCATTTCCGTAGAAATACTTAGGGAGAACCTGTAGCAATTCGTTTAAGATAAGTTCTGTGCATATGTAATTTATCTAAAAACTTGCTGGACTGAAGTGCTATGTTATGTAATCAAAATACTTCATAGTAAGTGACCTTACTGTTATGGTTTTTACTTATATGGATAAGTGTTACCGACCCTGTAATTTTTCTCTTCAGATTGCCAATGCTTTCAGTAAAGGATCACCGCGATGAAAAGCATCGGAAACGTCGTTCCCATCGAGAAGAATCAGAATATCACTATGGTTCTAGTTATTATTATCAAGAATCCAGCAACCACTCGGGACATGTAGATAAATACGATGATAATTACTACCGAAATAGGTATCCAAAGTCATACGACCAACAAGAAGACCACATTCGTCGTCACAAAAAGTCTAAACACCGCAGTCCCAGCTGTGATACGCATCATGAATGTAAACGGTCTCATCATGAAAAAAAATCTCACAAGACTAGGAAACATCCCGAAGATAATCATAAATCCATCTCAGGCACTGAGTAACTCACAAAATTTCTTTATTTTTGTACAGAAACAAATCTTTAGTACTAGTTGACAATGAAGAAGATGAGGAAGAGATTATCAGACGAAGACGTATTGAAAGACAAAAGTTGTTAGAAGTTAGTATCTAATAAATCTAACTTTCTTGTGTATTTTTTATTCAAGAAGTTAGAGGTCGGAAATCAAGGAGAAGCCCCAATCGCTAAACTCGACAGCGATCCCAATCATCAAGTTATTCAAGCAGACAGTTTGACGGATATGGTCACGTTTGATGATACTGAAGACTTCGATTTTGAGAGGTTTGTCCAGGCTAAGTTAGAATGTATCAAAATGGCTCCAACTAGTACCTCAGGTAAGATCGATACTAAAATTCATTACATCGAAAGTAAATTACTACTAGTTGACACGTTTGCACTATTTCCGGGTTAAGTTCGCTAAATTTCTTTATGCAGTTAGCAGACTTAGTATGATTGGAGTTACCTATATATCTATAGTATGCCTTTCGATGGTGTTCCATTCTTACTAAAAGTATAATTGCATGTGTCATTGTGTTTACTAAGTTAGAGACAGATTCGATTGTCTTAAATTTGGATTTGGAGGTTAAAATAAGTGTTGATATTAACTTCAGTCAATTTCCGTATTAAAATTAACCTCATTAACTCATATCCATTTCAAGTATGTAGACTTCAAGCTATTTAGTAATTTTATATGACTGCCAAATTGTTCAAAGTACGTGTGGTTTGTTTCGCTTAACTTGATTTTCCATTATATATTTCCAGACCAACCGAGCTCACCAAGTGGTCGTCTATCCGGTGTTCAAGCTCCAGCCGCAATGGCACTTCAAGATAAAAGAAGAAATGACCCAAATATCTCTGGACATAACAATTCCAAACCCTCTACATTTGATATGTTTGCTGAGGAATTCGAAGTCGAGCTGCATCATGCTCCAGGGACAATGGCATTGGGGGCTATGGCCTCTGAAAATCATGCCCTCTCCGACAATTGGGATGATGCTGAAGGTTATTACCGTAAGTTTTTAAATTTATAGTTTTTTTGCTATTCATTTTCTTGGTTTATGTTCATACAAAGCAGAAGAGCAGTGGACATTTCTAGGACTCAAAACAATCTCACTTAAATTCCTTAGAACTTTACGTTAAATTTTAGTTGCATTTCTGAATGTTAATAAGAACTGCATCATGATTAGCTAATCCTTATCTCAATATAGATATGTCTACACTTTTAGCATGATAAAATCTCCGAATTCGGGGCTATTTTCATTAATAATTGAAATAAGTGTTTCTAGGTGACAGAACATATATGCATTTTATGTATTTTGATGAGTATTATACAAATAATTTTCAATGTCCAGGTGTTCGCATTGGTGAAGTTTTGGACAAGCGTTATGCTGTTTACGGATATACTGGTCACGGAGTGTTTTCTAACGTTGTTAGGGCGAGGGACAGTGCTCGGGGCAATTTAGAGGTGGCAATCAAGATAATAAGAAACAATGATGTAATGTAAGTTAGAGCTTTTACTTTACCCAATGGTTTTCATGTAATATACAATAAGTAATCTGAATTCATCATACTAGTATTTATTGTATAACTAGTAATATAGTGTAGTTGCTGAGGTCCTTTGGCAGTACGCTGATAATCGTGTTGTTTCACTTTATTTGCTTAAATCTGCTCCTATTTTTAGGCACAAATCAGGTCTAAGGGAACTAGAAGTTCTTAAAAAACTCAACGATGCTGACCCACAAGATCGTTTTCATTGTCTGCGACTTTATCGTCACTTTTTCCATAAAAATCATCTATGCATGGTGTTCGAGTTGATGAGTCTAAATCTTCGAGAGGTTCTGAAAAAGTACGGACGTAATATTGGGCTGCATATTGCTGCTATACGCTCATACACTCAGCAGCTTCTGTTGGCTTTGAAGCTGATGCGCAAGTGTGGTATTTTGCATGCGGACATCAAGCCTGATAACATACTTGTAAATGAAAACAAAATCTTGCTTAAGTTGTCTGATTTCGGATCAGCATCTACTATACAGGATAATGATATCACGCCTTATCTTGTTTCACGTTTTTATCGTGCTCCAGAAATAAGTAAGTTTCTTGTTATATGGTATTTTGTAACATGCTTTTTAATACTACCTTTGATTTTTTAAAATTAAATACTGACATTTTTCTACTTTCTGCATTTTTTGCGTATTCGGCGTGATATCAGCCAATGGAAATCAGTCGCCACCATGAACTTGCTATTCAATAATCGTGGTCAAGATATGGAGTATTGTGACGATACTAGTGGGGCTGTCTTCTTGCTACCTTTAGCGAGGGTAATCTTTCTTATGCGCTCCTTAGTGAATTTTACGTTTTTTAAAACATTTTATTTTCTTATTTAGTTCAAACTGATAGGGTTCCTGGTTTATATATTTTTGTCCTGAATCTGCTTGACTCCTTTCATCATCTATGCACAAGGCTGTGATGGTCACGATTAGCGGGTTAATTAGCTTAGGTTTATCGCTACTGACTTGTGATATCGACATCGTAATACTTGATGGGTTTTCCGAAGCGAATATGGTAATGTTTTGTGAATAAAAGCTCTCATTCAAGCATGATGAGTCTGTATCGTGTATCCTATGTTTAAGGAGTATGTAGTTTAAAAGATTTCGACATGTTGTTACATCTGTTTTTAGTTACAGCTTTATGATTAGTGTACACGTCAAATGCCCCTAATAAGTATTTTTTAAAAGTCAAGTTTGCTAAATCTTACTGACCGTAGATGAATAGTATGTGGTTACTATATTTACGCTAGTTCTCGTCAGCTTCTCAGTCATTTATTTGCCCTCAGTATTAGTTGGTTTGTTTAGTATCCATAGTTCCCTCAGTAGTACATACGGTTAGTTAACCATGAAACTTTCGTGAAGATCTGATGGTTATTTATAGTTATCTCATACTTTAAGTTCATAGCAGCCACGGGCTCACGTACTGTACGAATAATTATTACATTCGGCTGATGATGATTACAAAGTTCTTTTGTTTCTCATTTCATTTAAGAAAGCATTTGTAAAGAATTTGAGTATATTTTTTAATAATAGTCTTAATAATATATGGGGTTCGCTATATTACTGTTCTCATCACTTAACTAATTGAGCGTCTTTGGCTGGTAATATCGTTCTATGTAAAATTGTTGGTTTGTTTCTTTGTCCAATATGTTTATAAATTAGTATAACAACAATTCATTATCCAACTATTGTGTGCAATAATAACAATCATTTCACCAAGTCATCTAAAATACTTTTTAATAAAGTGTTCCTTTTGATTTCTCCAAGATTTCACACATAATAACTTAATAGCCATATTTTTTAAATCGGCTAACACGACTTTAAAACAATTTAGTGATTGATGGACTCAACTTTCAACATTTTTTTTGCCGCGTAGCGTCGCCAGTTCCCACAAGGTGTAGCCCATCAGTCGGATACCTGAATCCGTACCTGGTTAATGGCTTACATTAATGTCGAGATATAATCGCCTGTTCATCTCACTTAATAACTATATGAGATAGACTTTTGTTACATTTTGATTCTACAGATGTAACCTGATGGACATGTTTTCATAATAACCGAGTCACCGTGGATCGTTCAAAATCATTTTCAATCAAAATCTTGGTGTTTGATATTTGTTTTAGTTTTAGGTGTTCCTTACGACTACAATGTGGATTTGTGGTCTTGCAGCGTAACTCTATTTGAGTTACATACTGGACAAATTATGTTTCCAGGAAAGACTAACAATGAAATGTTGCGTTTAATGATGGAAGTCAAAGGACGTATACCAGGTCGTGTGATCCGCCGTGGAATGTTTCGCGCACAGCATTTTGATGAACAGTGCAATTTCCTCTATCATGAAGTGGACAAAGTAACACAAAAGGTTTGCTGACTTATGTAAAGATCTATGTTTATGAATTTAAAAGCTATAACGCGTATTTTAATCTCATATATGTATTGATGTTGTTCTTAATCCCTTCCACTATTATTATTATTATTACTATTATTAGGTCAGATGATTTTATCGCTTCCCATGCAAGTATATCTAAGTTCTACCACTTTCCAATTGTGTGGATCTATTAGATTTTCAGTTAATCATGCTGTCTAAATGTGCTTTATTCCTATTAATAAATGATTAACATACAGGTTATCATTTTGGTACATTTACCTGGGATAAATGTGACTACTTGTGTTCCTGGCCGGCTAATGATTTGTGATAATATAATGTTGCACCATCTGTGCAATGTCGTAACATTGAAATGCGCATAAGATTAGACATTAAGAAATTCACTCTACTAACTATGTAACATCTAGGATAAATGGCTGTGATTTCATAATTTAATATTTCCAATTGTCTCGCTTATCAGGTAAAATCTTTGGAGTTAATCAGATCAGGCAGTTAATATGACGATTGTCTCCACTCTTCTCAATAATTTCATGCACTGAGAGATAATTTTCGGATCTTAGTTCCCACAAATACTCAATTTTGATCTACCTAAATTACCTTGCAAATTTTGCCAGGTTAGTTAATGTATATAATATCAACGCTTATTTAGATTTCCAACCTAGTAGCTAAAAAATTTTGTTATAGTTCGCAACTCTCATATCCTGTGTTTATTTTTTTTACCAAAAATCGAGTACTTGTAAGACTTCAGATAAATCAATGTCAATCATTTCAGTGTTCTTCGTATCATTCCTGAATTTTAAACAATATTCAGTAGTTGTGAAAGTCTAGTATATGTAAAGTATGTTTTTAAATAATTTGCCGATGTTTATTTTGTTTATCTGATCTCTTAACCACTCCCTCGGGTTGTTCGTTTTCATGAAATGTTCTGAAAACTTACATTCAGTTGACGAGTCTCGAATAGAATGAAACGCGCGTCCTGGATTCCACTGCTAGCCACCGTCCATTTTTACTGAAAATTTAGTTATTTGCCAAACTGCTGCTTAATAGAAAGTGTTCAAGATTTTCATTAACTGGAATGAAAACGCTATTCTACTTATTATTAGTCGTCTATATGTTGCTTATTTCGTTTTAGGAGAAAATGACGGTAATTCGTAATTTGCAGCCAACAAGAGACCTAATGACAGATCTAATTGGTCAATCGAAGCTAAGTGAACCAATCTTCCGCAAAGTAACACAGTTTCGCGATCTTCTCGAAAAAACTTTAATGTTGGATCCTACTCGTCGTATTTCTTTAAATGAAGCTTTGCAACACCCATTTATTACCGAGCGTATGTCTGCCGCAACAGAATCAGCTAATCCTACACAGTGAAGTGGTTTTTGTTCACATTGCAATTACACTGTATACAATGTAAATAAAAATTTTCGTTATTCAAAACCTAAGTTTGTACTGTAAATATGCCAAAAATCCTTTAAAATCTTATTGACTTTTGCTTTGTGGGGATTTATTTACAAATTATATTAGTGCTTCCTCAGTACATTATTTTTCGTAAGGTCACATCGAATTCATTTAAAATATGAAGTACCTTAAGGAATGTGTCCGGTCAGGATTCTATGAAAAGTATGGTATGAATTCGTAAGTATACCGTGTTCGCGATAGATTGCTTTCTCGCACAGCTTGGACTATCAGTTCCAGGTTTTACTGGCTATGTAACTTTCAGATTCCATGTGCATATGAACTAATCGACAAGTTTATCAACAATAACGTCACCTTGGAGAAAACACCTGTGTTTTCGTTTGCATTCGAAGTTACGTACTATACGTTCTCAACCAAACGATACATTACAAGCAATAATTCTTCCATGACGGGGTTTAGATACTTCTGAATATGATGCACATAAAGCGATTATCGGGTGATTAGAAACCCCGTCTCATAAGATTTAGTTGAGGCTCGCCTTCATACATTCATATTGCGTTCAGACTTAAGGATTTTAAAATCAAACTACACATGGAGAACCATTTGTGGTGATTATCATCGAGAATTTCCCATAAGATCTGGGTCACTCAATTCCAATAAGTTTATTGTCCCTGCTGAGGAACTGACATCACTCTTAATATTGCTAAATGGACAATACAGAAGTGAATATAATATAGAATGAGCTACAAAACTCACATTATGTAGATTAGCGGCTTGTTCTTTGTCCGTTGATGGTTAACTTATGAAAAGAGGATTTCTCAGCTAGTACAAGATGGTAATGTGCTTTCTATTCGTCTGCAAGACAAGTCACTTAGGGGATTCGTTCAAACGTTTGGACGGCGAAGTGAGCTGGGAGTCGGTTTGAGTAATATTGGGCAGTGGCCTCTGAATAGTACTTTTCTACCACGGTCTTGCTGCTGAAATACCAAGATTCCTCGAGGATTGACTAAGTAACGAAACATTTGTTTCTTGTAGGTGTGTATTTATGCTTAAATTGAGGGGATTCTTATATTGTAGTTATGTTTCAATTAATATTTTTACTACGAGGAATATTCCGTTACATTCGCTTTATCTAGTAATTTAAATCCGACCAAATGTTAACGGATTCTGCATGCCTACAATCCTACCTTCAGTTTAGATAGCATATGATTGTTTATTCAATACAGACCGATGAGACCACGAAAGTATTCAAATAAGCATGAAAATTTCTAGCTGTAATTTTGATATCAAAAATGCAATAAGCGTAAGACAAAATCGCCGAACTAAAACGGTGACGATAGAAGCTGACAAAAGCTCATTTTTGGTGATCGGTGGTGACGGTAGTCTAGGTATTTCTGTGACAGCTCTAAGCATGAAGCATTCGAGTACTACGCGTAAATTCTGTTTGTCTTGTGGAGTAAGATGAGTAGTTTTGATGTAAATCAGTCCTCACAGTTTTGAAAAAAGAATGCCAAGTTATGGTTTCATAATACTATCAAAAAGCCGAGTGCCGGTAGTGCAATAACGTTTCAGTCAGTGGCTCACATGTTTTGGTACTGGTTACCCCTGTCTTCAAGGTTAGTGATTGATTCAGGCATTTGTCAACATTCCTTCAACTTGCACAAAGATGTTACTTGTTTGGTTAGCTAACGTGAGTGTTTTGAATATGCCTGGAAGGCAAGACTAATAAAATTAAAAATTAGGGAAACATCATACTACTAAAATTTGAAGACAAATGAGAGTGGGACAATTTCCTTCCGGACCATATTTACGTAGCCTGTGCGGTCATATTTATTGCCCGTTTTTACATGTATTTCACAATATAGTGGAGGGATGTTCTGCTTTTCATAATCACTAAGTAAACACTTATTTTCAGAAGGGGTTTTGTAGTGATTTTCTAGAAATTGCACTAGTTGAAATCATGAGTTAATTGAAGCTAGACCACCATGGAAACACTGGACGGCCGTTTCGTCCTAGTATGGGATCCCTTAGCAGTGCGCATCCACGATCCCGCCCCTCGCGAGATTCAAACCCAGGACCTATCGGTCTCGCGCGCGAGCGCCTAACCATTAGACCACTTAGCTGGCATCCAACAGTGTTAATGTCTAACTTCAACCAGTCCACGAAGTTGCGCCACCGTAATAGGACGAAACGGCCGCCCAGTGCTTCCAGGATTTCAACTAGTGAAACACTTGTTTCTGTCTCGTAAATACCCTTTATTTTATAATTTTTCCACCAGTGTCTAGGTCGTTGCGTAGCATTTTACTATATTCCTAAACCACTTATAACTTGATAGTCTTCGTGATCTTGATAACCTTCTTAAATTGCGGGACTCGCCTTTGTTTTATTGTAAGCTGCTATTTGTAAAAACTAGCTATAAGTACGACTACAAACTAAGTAATTGACACAGTACAAAAACAACAGATTATTAGATTACATAGTGATTGTAACAGTCATTAGAATTTCCTCGGAACTCCATTCCCTAAAGATGGTGAAAGGCTCTAGATTATATCTTATATTTGTCGGTTTTTTTTCCATTTATAATGCTTAAGATAAACCGAGTGTGACCTTAATTTATGGAAGCGGCTATGCCCAACGAAGATTGTTTGATAGAAAAATTAAGTTCTTTGTGAACTATGCTAATCGGTCGCCGAATATCAACCGGGTCATATTTAGTTGTGTAATTCTATAAACATTTGTCCATATTATAAGTTAATTGCATATTGTCTATTTACTCATTTAATCATATTTTTTAATGGGAACTAACTTTCGATTATTAGTCGCAATTTATCTGTTTAAACAAAAGAGATTAACGATCTTTTTAAATGCAGTGTCAATGGCTTTCAAATTGATAATATTGATTTAACACAATTCCAGTGATAGCTAACATATGTGAATTGAATTCACGACTTATATATGAATTGATGGATAAAATTATATGTCCTGTCAGTGTATTTTTACTTGTGATTACTTCCGCCAACAAATCAGAAAGAGTTTATGATTTTATCACTGAACAAGATGTGAAGGGATATTCGATACAAGAGACTATTGGATTTCGAACATTTCAACAGATGAGTAATCCACAATACAGAGAATATGAAAATGGTTTCCCACCTGGTATTTATGGGTCTTCTATTATACCTACTACTATATGGTATCATTACTGGAGTCGGGATACTTATGAAGGTATGTAGTGTGTGAACCATGGGGTTAAGCGATTTTTGGCATTGAACTATTTTTAAATTGACTCAATAGAGATTTAGAAATCGAGGATTCATTTTGATTTCTGAGAGAGTTTGAGAATTGTGACTTCCTCAAAGATGGAACGCAGCAACTTCAAACTCCTAAACAAGACGAAACAGGTGTCCTCTTTGTCCATACCAGCCACAACTCATCTAATAATTCTGTAACAACTTCAAACTCTATAGTTGACACTTTAGTATCTGAGCTACTGAGTGATATTCATAACCTATATCTACTCTCTGTCCGCCGTTAAATCTTTCAGCTTCGCAATGTTCAGTTACCATTCATATTCGTATTAGCCCGTCACGAAAAATAATTGTCTGGTTAATTCGTTTAAATGTCGTTAGTAATTATGTGGCTTCTATTAAATAATATTTATCATTCATTACCACTGAATTTAAATTATATCAGTTTAATATTTAAAGAAATAACACTGATATCTCATTAATTAATTTGATTAGAATAACGTCATGAACTTATTACAATCTTTACGAGTTAATATTAATATTTAACCTATCTTCACCTTGTAATCAACATCAAAGAGTGAATTCGGAACCCTGTTGATTGGGTACTGTTTTGAAAATTAAACTTACAAAATGTTTTGTAATTTGAATTTTTTAATATCTTCGTTCCCTAAATCTATAGAAACCCTATAAATAAGGTCAAACTAGTTAGTACAATTTGAAAAGCGATAAAGCGACAATGGTATTTCGCTGTTGTGATGGTGTAGCGGAGCATACCTCTTTTATTCATTTCCTTGTTAATTTTATTCTTGTGTGCTTGTGTTTGTCTATACACTTATCATTCTCTACTTGCTCACACTATTTATTCTCTATATCGGATTTTATTAATGCTTGTAATGAGTGGTATTTTCAGTAGTAAGATTTTGTCTGCTCTGATATTCTCTTCTTTTATAATCTGTCTGCATTAACGAATGAATGAATTATGTTTCCGAAATGCTTCTGCTTGACTTATTGTATTCCGTTACATACTAACGTGATTAAGCCGATGAATATACCAAGTTAATCAAGAAACTATATTTCATAATTCCTCATCGACATCAAACATGGATTCAACTAGGGAAATAAATTTAATTCCCTTAGATAATTTCATATGGCAACAAACGATAATAATGCCTTTCTCAATGAATCTTTAGATCTTCCCGTACTGATTGTGCATAAGTTATATGTAAATACAAAAATAATATGAAACGTAGACTAGTGAAGAAGATGAAGTAAAAGCTCACAGTATCGTCTCCATATAAATATATAAAGCGAGATCTGGAACAATGATCATTTAATGTCGTCACTGAGCAACGCTTCCACTACTGACATGAGTGGCTTTAAATTCTACAGTTACCTACTAAATTTCCTTTGTACTCATTTGAAACCCAGTTGGTTCTAAAAATTGTATTCATATAGAGCTCAGAAACACATAATCAAGTCGTTGTTTGAACATGGTTTTTATCACTAGATGATACCATTGAAATAACTATCAGGGCACACTGAATGAATCTTCTTCTTTTGAGCAGTGACGAGTGGTGGCTAGCAGTGAAAACCAGAACGCTCCTTTCACTTTATTTGAGACTCGTCATCTAGATGCACCTGCATCCCAAAATTCGATGATCACTCCTGGACTCCAGCCCAGTACCGTTCTCTTCAAACGCCATCTTGTTGTCCATTTAGCTTAAAAATGGTTGTGACTTAATGGGAATATTGAGACAATCCACACAGGATTTACAAATACCAAGAGAGACTAATCAATGGTAGTCTTGAACATCTATGGAAAGATTAAAATAACTGATACATAAAAACTAAATTTTTCTCTTATTTCCAAATTTTATGGAAGTATGTACTCACTTCTCTCATCACGCTAAAATCTAGCCCTGCATGTTTTATGGGAAATAGGTTGGCCTTACGAAAGTAATCTTGGTTTCACTGCCTTAAGTTTTTAAAATGTTACTCTGAAAAGTGGGTTTTCGGCTAAATATGAATCATCATTCTCAGGACTCAAATTAAACGAAGAATTTAATTATATTAAAAGCTGGACATCTTGATCTATGGGATTCAGTAAAATTCACTGAAGAAAGATGGATCTTAAAACAGAACTAGCTGATACAAAGGTGCAATAAGCCCATGTGTCTTCGTACATTGAAGTTGTGTGAATAATATATTCGTTTATGAGCAATTGTATCAAGGGAACTTTCGCATAAATCTTATCTTAAAAACAGCAAACTCCATGACCTAATTTTTGGTGAAGATGAAAGTCGCCTAGACAAGTATTAATAACTTCTGTAACTCTATTATAACTTGAGTTGTATCGAGACTGGCCTAATATTTTAGGCTCATTCTGATTGAGGTGTAATCACACTACCATTGTTTATCCATGAATTAAATACTTTTACAAAAGTTAATGTTAAATCTAATCTGACATCATTAAAAACGAAGCAAATTTTTCTGTGTTAAGAATTTAAAGAAAGATACTCAATGAAATAGAAACAATCCACAATAAGAAAAATCACTGAGATATATGCTATCATCAAACTTAGTCTAATGCATACCTTAATATTCACAATCACAAAAAATATTTAATTATCTCAGTCTTCTATTTGATTTTAATTAATTCCAACTTATTTTCACCAGACTATTCAATTGTAAGTTAAATAAGTTACTTCAATCAAGTTTTTTATTTTTCTGTATATTTGGACATTTTATTTTAACTCAGATATGTTTCCCCATAATGGGAATATGTACTTAGCTGATGTGAATTGGCCTCACATAGTCACATTATGTGATGAAACCAAACATCCAAGATGTTCATGGGCTTATTTTTTAGCATTGATGCAACCTACTTCTCATAATCCACACTTGCTAAAACAAATATTCGGTGAAGAGTTTGAGAGATTATCAAATAAACACTTCATTACACCAATTATACGTGGTGGATGTTATCGTTTAAGGACAATAGATCAAATGAGTTTAATATACATATATACCATATGCCATCTTTATGGTGAGGTAAAGGAAGCTATTCCTGACTTAGAAGTGAGTTTTCGTAATTTTCCCTTTTTTCTGTAGTTCTGTTATTCTCTGAACTGGTGTTTTCATGGATAAAGCTCTCGTCGTTAGTCAAGTATTGTAATAATACCAGATTATTCAAACTTTCAAATTGTGGAATTCCATTAGAATTCCTTTTAACTAAACAGACCAAGAATGGCAGTTCACTATGTTCATCTCTTTTGAAAGTGAATTTGATATGGACTGAGAAAGTGTTTATCAGTTCGGAGAAATTTCTAATGACAGATGATTCATCTACATGTCTGAGCTAAATGCGTGGTTTGATGGTTTCATATGATGTTAAATCGCCCTACACTTAATAAAAAAGGCCTGACTATTCACCAAACTTGGCTTGTTTATCCAAACATCTACAATTCATTCTGTTTTGTTTCCCACACAACACATATAAACTCAACTCAAATTCTAACTACACCATTTTCCATATCCAGTACTTTACATGCAAATGTATTTATTTATTTATTTATTTATTTGGACACATGAATATTGGTACAAGAGAGCGCAAATATATATGCGCCACACAAAACAATGAAAATTCGAGAGGAATAAAAAGAAAGAAAAAAAAGCTAAGGAGCGCAACAAAAAAAAGAGAACAATAACGAAGAGATTGGTGTAAGATAATGTGCTAGTAATCAGGGAACGCAAAGGTACAATCGGAAGAAATCTTTCAGGTAAGGGAGACACAACCACTTTTTATGAAGAAAGTAAAAGAAGGTTACAGCAGGATCGCCACTGGCTTCTATTCTGAGCCATATCTGATAACGTCTCTAGCCACTGTGTAGCACCATCTCTCAGACCCCAACCAGGGAGTCGTGAAGGACCGACAGAAGCCAGTCCTTTGCAGCTTTCTTTCATACCACGACACCATGTCATGCACTGACCACCTCTCCGCTTCTTCCAACCAGTCCCAGAGTCGGCAAATAATGCACGACGTGGAATTCTCTGGGACGACATTCGTAGAACATGTCCAAGCCACCGAAGTCGGTGTTTCAAGATGGTGACATCGATTGCATTATAATCTCTGTACCCGAACACACGATGCCGAACCTTTGCATTACTGACATAGTGTTGCCACTGAATGTCAGCAATCCTTCGGAGACAGCGATGATGGAACACAGAGAGTCGTCTAACGTCTTCAACTCGGAGAGGCCAGGTTTCACAAGCATAGAGCAAAACTGCTCTCACCGACGTGTTGTAGATCCGACCTTTTACAGCCAGACTAACATCAAGAAGGCGTCAAAGATGGCCCAGATTGGCATAAGCCGCTCTGGCTTTCACTATGCGTGCATTGATCTCACCACTCAAACCCCCACCAGCACTTATGCAGCTACCCAGATACACGAACTTCTCGACTACGTCTATCTGCTCACCATCCAGGGTGAGTACAGGATTGGAATCCTGCTAGTCTTGTAGAAGTACTTTGCACTTCGAAGGTGCAAAGCACATACCATACCTACGGACACTGATTGCCAACTGATTAAGTGCGGATTGCATGCCTTGGGCATTATCGCACAGTAAGACAATATCATCCACATACTCAAGGTCGAGAAGTCTTTCTCCAGGCAACAGATCCACACCACCATTACTTACATTCATCAGAGCTGTTTCCAGAATGTCATCGATGGTAAAGTTGAAGAGGAATGGTGAGATTGGGCAACCCTGCCTAACCCCACTACTCGAATGGAACAATGGAGAAAGGTGGTTGTATGCCCTCACTCTGCCTGAGGTGTTTTTATATAGGGCTTTTAGGATGTTAATAAACTTCTCAGGCTCACCCTTCTTCAATAGACAATCCCAGATAACAGTCCTGTCCAACGAATCGAAGGCAGCCCTGATGTCAAGAAACACTACGATTGTTGGCCTTTGATAAGTATGGCGGTGTTCTAACATTTGGCGGAGGGTGAAGATATGATCAATACATCCTCGACCAGAACGAAACCCAGCCTGCTCCTCGCGAGTCAATCTTTCTCGGGTTTTGAACAACCTACGAAGTATGATGGAAGCCAATAGCTTGGACGCAATCGGAAGTAGACTTATCCCCCGATAGTTGTTGCAGGAACGACGTGAACCCTTTTTAAAGATAGGGACAACTACCGACTCAATCCATGACGTTGGTACACTCTCTAGTTCCCAGACCTTTATGAACAACGTCGTCAATTCCTTAGTCAGAAAGTCCCCACCATCTTTAAAAAGAGCCGGAGGTAAGTCGTCTGGGCCAGGTGATTTGTAACGCTTCAAGAGTTGGAGTTCCTTGCGGACTTGCGCCTCATTTGGTGGACCAGTCGTCACCGGCCATGGAGGGCAGGACAGTTTGACCGATGTTGCCGAAGCAGCAGGCCAGTTGAACTGCCCTTCGAAGAATTCTGCCCACCGTCCAAGACGTCGATGGATGTTAGTGATTGGCATCCCATCATCCTCGCAGATTGTTTCGCTCACACCAGACTTCTTGCTGCCAGTGGCTCGGATGAGTTGGAAGAGCTTCCGGTAATTACCAGATGCAGCTGCTGCTTCCAGCTCATTAGCACGCTTCGACCACCAGGCTTCCCGGTCATTACGCAAGCTTTGCTCAATTTAATTACGTGATATCCTTCGTTTGTGGTCAAACTCACGGTCACCCGGAGTAGACCGACGGGCTTCAATGAGTTGTAAGGAACCAGAAGAAACCCAGTGCTTAAAAGCGGGACGTTTCGCGAACCCACAACTGACTGTTCCCGCCATTTTCATGGCGTCATGCAATTGCAACCAATGCTCATCTATACTTTTCGGTGGAGTGGTAGCTAGCCTAGAAACTAGCTCGGTTCGATACTTACTAGCAACAGAAGTTGCAACCAGCTTGCTAACATCAATCCGTTGGTGGCGGTCACTTCGTTGTCCACTGAAAAGTAAGGCAAGATTGGCGCAGACCAAGGCATGGTCAGAGTCCAGATAGGTACTCCAAAAGGAGCGGCAGTCTTGTACAAACCACGCCAGCGGTAGCTGATCGCTATGTGATCAATCTGAGTCCAGGCTTAGGATGCAAAGGGAGGACGCCAGGTGGCACATCGGCGATGACTGTACCGAAAGTTAGTGTTAGCCAAAAACAAGTTATGGTCTGTGTAGAGTTGCAGTAGACGGTCCCCGTTATCTGACCTGCAACCAACGAGTCCCCATCAGCCACCTAAACGACTCTCTTCTGTGCCTAGACGCCCGACCTGAGCATTCAAGTCTCCAGCTAGTACTACAATATCTGTTGAACGCACTTTCTGGAGAAGAACAGATAACTGGTGGTAAAACTCATCCTTGATTGCATCCGGGCTGCAATCTGTCGGGGCATAGGCGGAGATGACGAAAAGACATCGTTTCTCACGCCGATTTCTTCTCACTTTGATGGAACTTTCTAACCTAACAGCACATAATCGACTGTTATTGGGGATCCAATCGACTAGTGCTGCCTCAGCTCTGGCGCTTAGTGCGACACCAATGCCAGCAAGACCAGACGAAGATGCCACAGGGTCCTCGGATAAGCGCACGTAAAACAAGCTTTTTGAAGTGACAGATGTAGAGCGAATTTGTAGTACTTCACCAGAGTCTTGAATACGGGTCGAGGATAGACAGCAGAAATCGATATGAAGACTTTCCAAAGACATAGCCAGCCCTATCTGTTGACCAACCTGCATAAGTGTGCGAAAGTTGAAGGCAGCCAGTTTGAATGGCGCACGTGGTTTCAGAAAAACTGCTTCAGTACTCATATTCGATGGTAACATACAATTTTTAACCGGACAGTGACTCAAGAACGTTTAAATACAGTCGAATTTGCACCAAAGACGAGCCGCTGTATAAGTATAAAAGAGAGTGAATAATGTGGAAAATAATAATAATAATAATGACAATAATAGTAATAATAATAGTATTAATAATGACAATAATTGTAATGATAATTATTTGAATCGATTGATTGTTTTTCCGAGCGAGAAAAGTAGTTGCCATAGACATAGAGTTCATCATTTGTGTGTGGGCTGTGATACTGCCCGGGTGCCCAAACCGAAGCAGGTGGTTATCTTAGTGGGCCACTCCCCGAGCCTTTGACCTAAAGGTCTAACCCACAAGGCAGTGAAGCATCGTAAGGAGATGCAATCCATGGCAGCCGGTGACCAAAGATTGGTTCATACGCCATTTGTTCCCGCAGGATACTGGAGCCCATGTGCACCATTGATTTAGTTTGGGATCCGGTTAAAGCGTCGGACATTCGCTGTTCGTCCTCTCATTTTCGTAATTAACACCCCAGCCACGAGAAGGCAGTGAGTAGGACTTCCCTGGCAGAGGCTGTATACGCGCGGCCGTGTGAGAGTATTTCGAGAGGGAGAGCGGACTCACCCCACTCTCGGCCGTACCAGGGCAAATGTACACGGCGATGTCTCGCACAGAATCATCTTGACCAAAAACAACATGACGTTGACACGATCGGACCTATTTTGATTTTGAGTGTACTAAAAATATTCTGCTTTGTTTCCTCTGTACTATTTAAACTTAAATAAATTTAATTCGAGTGTTTATTTATTTACCCTAAGTCACGGAATGTCAGAAATTCGGATTTCTGCTCTTTGATATATCAGAAATATGTATCGTTAATTGATGATTAAATTTAAGATCACCTTATATTGATCATAATAATAGTCCTTCTTACCTTGAAACATGTTTAGATTTGAAAATGAAGGAAATTTAGCTGCGCTAATTTTTTATTAAAAGCAACGCTTGTCAGAATGAGACCATTCCAATGGCGGAATAAAATCCTTATCTGAAAAATAAGAATTTCTGGAAGGCTTTATTGAACCCAACCGCTAACATGTGAAAACAAATACTAATAAAATATTTAAAATACACAATAATTAAAACAGATAATAATCTTACTTATAGCTTCATGAGAACAATTTTCAAATTTCTTGTATTTCAAATTAACACAGGTATGTCCAAATCCATGTAAGCGAAGACCATGTCATTATATTCAAAATGCAGTTGGTGGTTCTTGTAAACGTCGTGGCTATCATAAAGATGATTATGAATGTTTATGTGAATCAGTATGTTTAGAAAAGCATTTTATTATACATGGTGTAATATATATATATATATATATATATATATATATATATATATATATATATATATATATATATATGACTGTTGTCAAATGTAACAAATAATCCAACTACGTTCAAACTGCATGCATCGTTTAAACCTTCAGTCTTTGAAGTTTGCGAGATGGTTCAAACCATAAAGCAGGCAGGCTTCAAAAAATAAATTATCTCAACATTATTAGCACACCAAAAATTCAGACAGTCACTGGTCTCACTTCCATGATTGTGAGTATTCGAGGGGTTACTTATTCATAAACAACGCGTTTTCTTGGGCCCTCGATAGCTTATCAGCATTAATCAGCTTGCCAAGATTGCTTACTCCTTTGCTACGATGTCCAACAAAGCTGACGCAAGTATTCGATCTCACCTATATTCTTACCAAAAACATTTTGGTAGAGAAAGAAAGGAGTATTTGGGTTGAGGCATAGTGCTATGAAATAAAGAATAATTGTTTAGGATCAGTAATTGTTAGCCCACACACCATGGATGCCCAACACTTAACACCGTGAAGTGTACCTGAGCTTGATAATCTATTGAGCAATGAAGATCAGACAGGCGAAACCTCGTTTGGGTCTGAAATATCCCCAGGCTTTCTAGATTTATAATTCTCAAGATATGTTCAGGTGTCGCATGAATATATGCTACAGAATTCTGGGGTCAATCTTAATCAGTTAGCCATTGGAGACATGGTGATTAATTTACTAAGTTATTCCTTTTTCTGAACGCACAAACTGTTTTGGTTTTTTTAAAAATAAATTTTGAAAGATATTTATACTTGTTTTTCTCAATATGAATTATTGTCTATAGTACGTAGTTGGTTTCAGTTAAACATTATATTTTAAACTTATATCAATGGATTGAATGATGATACATATTTCGTGGATTTTGTTTTTAGTTATTCAGAGCAAGATCTCTTAGTCTTAAATTTACCATTTAAGATTATTATATTAACTTATCAGGGTAGCGTGTTGATTGATGTCAGAATAATATTTGCATTCTAATTAATCTGATAAAGTAAAGCAGTTAACTGAAAATAAGGTCAGATTTTATTTAAGTTATTAAATCATTAACTAATAGCTTTCATTATCTATATCAACACTGGTAGCCTAAAGACACAGCGATTAACCACCTAATTCAAGAAACATCAGCTCAATAACTTTCACAAATAAACTAAGAAAGTTATTGTAGTGAAATTTTGGGGTGTGATAACATTTCTGATTTACCCTAAACGGTAACTCAGATCCTAAGGTGGTGAAAATTAGAAATTAAGTAGTTTACGTCGCGTTTGAAAATACGATCTTAAAAGTCAGGAAATCTATCTAGTTATTGTGTATTTTATTTGTCTGATATATGTGTTATTTGAATTTATTTGTCTGTGTAATGTGTTAAGTATCGTAATTAGGTAATAGATTCTTTATGGTTGTGAAGTTCTTCCTGTCGACTTGCGTATATCAACGTCTAGAAGGCTTCAGGTGACTCTGTGAATTCAGTTTAAATGGATATCAAAAAGCTTTATAACAGACTATTAACTTATTATTGCGTGAAGTATAGCATTCAATTACACAAGAAAAGACAGAATATATGAGAGGTAATTTGTTAGGTGATAAAGTTGACGATATAAAGGATATACAATTACTAGTAAGATGGCATTAGATTTTTATCAACTGCTGATGAAGGCGTTATTGTCTAACAAATGAAACTAATTAACACACTCTTGATTCAAGTATTATGTGTGTATTTAGTGGACAGAATACGGGTGAGGACAATCGAATGTACTTGATGCAGAAATTACAGAGCATCTCAATAAAATCTGAGAACTATATATTAAATCGTTAATTTGCAAAATGTCCACCAATTGTCTCAAAATACCTCAGACTTCATTGTTCTTACATTTTCACACAAATTGCATCCTATTCCCGCTCCTGTTTTCTTGATCTTCCCTCATCTTCTGCTGCCAGACAATACATTGTTGACTCGCATAATATACTACTTATATCAAAATAAGTAGCACGCACCACATGTACATTTTCCTCAGTAATCTCCTCTATGAATAATCTTTCTGTTCAATTATATATTCTCAACTTTTAACACTGGAAAATTTTGGAATTTTTTAAAGAAAAGTAATAAAAACTGTTAGTTAAACAGAATTTATTTTCTATATTTTTTTACTGTTGATTCCTAATGCATCTGTGTGAAAATTTTGTACAATTCAAAGGCACGTTTCATCTTAAACCAATATCATTTGCATAACCATTAAGAACCCTTAATAATTAGCATACAATACCTCACACAGGATTTAACTAATATCTCCCGGGTCTTACAATAACCACAGTGCCCTTTGATAACTGAGTTGAAATTTAATTTTTAGTTCTTTTAATCTATGCCAGGTTTCAGCTTGTTTAGCTATTTTCACTATTTATTTTAATTTAATTTAAGGGATACAAATGGGAAAAGGACCTATTATTGTGTACCATAATTGATACATGCAAATTGTTTTGTAATCATGAGACAACTGAATCTTGTTTTCTTAATCAAACAACAGGTAAAACAGAAAGAATTTTGAAGAAATCTCACTTTATTTTGATCACTGTTAATAAATTTTTATGATTAAAAAGGATTATATGTAGCAGTGTTTATGGATTTTTAGTCAATTCGGGGTCATAATTTGTTGTGAAATATGTAACCATAATCAATATCTTTTTGATTGAACAATCACAAACAATATGAATATAATCTAAACTTTATTAACCTAAGGACAAGATAAATTCATTCTACACATTTCATATAAGTGTATAGTTATCTAATAGTTTCATAATGGTTACTAATATTATAATTGTTCTAAACTTAAACAAGTGAGGCAGAGTTAAAACTTTCATTTCACTGATTAAAAGTTTACATATACAACTATAGTAATTTATAAAGAAAATTCAATTATAAAATGTCTAATGACCAAATATTTTCTAAACTACTTTATCTTTTAAGTGGGAAAAAAAAGTACTTAAACTATTTAATCTGCTCTAATATAAATACACGAACAAGGATTTGAAGAACTCAATAAAATGATCAAATAATCTTTTGTTTTTATAAATGTGTGAAGCATCAATAATTCAAATGAAGTAATAATTTTAGGAAATTATTTACTAAAATCCAATTTGAAATGTTACTTTCCCATATAATCCATCTTCATTTTTATTACTTTTTATAACTTTACAATTATTGAAAGAAGCTACAAATTGAAACAGAAGTATTTATTAAGAGCATTCATTCAGTCACTCCATTTACAGCACGTTAAAGAATAGAAAATTCCATCATTCACTAAGTATTACTTAGTGAACCGATTTGTTGATTTCTGTTACACGGTTATGCGACATAGATGTTATAAATGAACAATGTATGGTTATTGGAAGTACATGTAAAGGATGAAATGAGAGTTGTAAAGGGACAAATGACCGGTGTTAACATTAAACGTGGGATTTTCGGAGAGAAGATGAGGAAAAGCTTCATACCATAAGAACAAAACTTAAGTTCTGTGGTATATTAAAACCTTATTTTGATTAGTATTATCTTATAGAATAGTATCGTTTATTAATTTAGCTGGCTTTTGTGTAGATTACTGCATAAGCTGAAAATTTTCCTCACTAACTAATTTCATCTTGTAAACCCATGATTACTAGAAAATATCAAAAAACTTTATTTTTAGTCTTAAATTACTCCACAGTTTTCATTCACGACCCTACACAAGAATAAATCTGGGATGTATAAGTATTGACTGAACACTAGTTAGTATATCAAAACATTAATAAAATACTTGTCAAACAATTTTTGGTGATCAGTGTTTCTACAACTGACGTTAGTCTTGATTAAATCCATCTTCAAAGTAATATTCATTTATGGAATTATTCTATGAACAGAATCGATTACCAACAGTCATATCAAAGTGACATGATCATTGACAGTAAATTGCGTTAAAACCACATCTCGTGTCACATATAATAAGTTGTTAGCATAGGCTTGCGGAGGTTGTTGAGTTTTTATCGAGATCCTGAGCCGATCAATGTTAGACCATCGTTGAAATCCTGAAAGCACTGGACGGCCGTGTAGTTCCATTAAGGGGCTCCTCCACAGTGCGCATCCACGATCCCTTATGTAGGACTTGAACCCAAGACCTTCGGTCTCATGCAAACGCTTAACTTCTAGACCATTAGGATAAAATGGCTTTAAAATGTTTCCCAGCTTTTAATGGTGGTCTAAAATTTATCAGTCCATGATCTTAATAACTATAATAAGTGACCTTAATAGCAAGTAAATCAATAATGTTTTAACTATTATCGATTGAATTAGGTTGAATATAAGTCATGCATCTGGCTATCATCTGTATTTATATAATACATTAGTTATCAGTATGGGGTTTCGGAGGTTGTTTAATTTCATTGAGATCTGGAAACAATCTAAGCTTTCAGTGACCTTAGATCAGTTCATTAACATTATTTGCTGTGGGCGGCATAGAATGGAGAAAGTTTTAGATTAACTGGATCAAGAAAAAGGAACTGTTGTAGACTGCTATACTAAGCAGTTCAAGCCTATAGAATTCACTTATTCATATGATCAAAGAAACCAAAGATAATACACATTATTTGCTATGTCACAAAATTAGTTGTATTCGTCACAGGTCAATTAACTCCATAGTATTCTAGTCTTCCTAAAGTTCTTTTACTTGCCATTGTTTAGTTCTGTAACGTAGTGGAATAATACATGACTGTTCGGCCAGCATTCCACAACTTACAATTGACACTTTGATATATATATATATATATATATATATATATATATATATATTTCAATTTATAATTAGGTGTAGCTACATGTATTTGTAAAACTGGTTACACCGGATATGATTGTAATCAACCATTCGACGCTTGCATATTTGATACAACTTTGAAAATGAATCCGTTAGACGCTAGTCCATATATACCATCAGGATATGAAGCATGTGGAGTTCTGTTAAATCCAACTAATAAATGCAATTCAATGAATGATATGTTAACTTACAATTGTACGTGCAGTATAGGATATACAAGAGATTTGTCTTTACCATATGATAACTGTTTGAAACAAAAAGATGGATGTGATACACGCTTATGTTTGCATGGTGAATGTATAAGTTCAAAAGTAAGGTTTATCATTTATTTGTTCATTGAGTTTATTGAAATTTCATCTACAATTCCATTTATTACAAGTTGAACATATTATTACATTTAGAAATCAGTGACTGAAAGCCACTGGTAAGTAAACTCAAATTTGGCTGCAACTACAATCGTCTATTTAGTCTTGAATATAATGAAATTTTTTGTTTCAGTATGTGGTAGCTGGAGGCAGTCGATGAGAAGCCCTTGGTATAATTTTAGTGTTAGCTGACATTCGCCAACAACTTACGCTGCCAGCGAATCCGTGTCACTACGACGTACTAAAAAATACGATACTGATTGCTACTCCGTGATGAATCTGTGCGAGTATCTCGTTTCTATTGGAGGGTCAGTAGAAGTTCAGATGGTGATAACATAATACTGACAATTAGTGAAGCTTATTCAAATCTGACGAGCACCATCGGTTCCATCAAGATTACAGATACTCAGTACTAAGTAGTGTCAATTTAAGTATAAGGCTTGGCGTCAATAGCTTATATTCACTTAGTATCGAAAATATTGCACTAAACGTAGAGTCGATTAAACTAGTTGCCTTTCTCCGAACTGGTCGATAGAATTTTTCAACATTAAGTATTAATTATGCATTAAGTTGGCTGTCACTCAGTGACCCATCAGTGCGAAATTTTTCTTCCTTAATTCCTTACCCATTTAATAATGTACCTACAATTCTGTTAACTTTTTTGTTTCTGTACTGAGATGAGATGTGATAACTTGAACAAATACTGTCATGTATGTTTTCCTCACAAATCACTCAGTTTATTTTCTAAATGAACATATGATCGGTAAAAATCTCTTTACGCTTGTATATTCTTTCATATTAACTGGCTACTGATGTCATTCCAAAAGTTTTCTGTTTGTAACTTGGTCAAACGACCTAGATCGCGGTATAGTTTAATCACCCCATATTGCTCATATTAGCAGTCAGAGACTTCCTATGCGTAGTCTGGCGACTCACAGTCTTCTTTCAAGCTATCCTGACTATCGTTAGGATGAACTAAAGGTTTTTCATGATATAGGTGTCTTAGCCAACTCAGTCGATGAAATTTTCGAAGCCTTACTAATCAATTTTACATATTTTACCTATACATTATGTTTAACTTCAAAACTGCTTACTTGGGGCTTCCACCAATATGTGAGCAGTACTTCAAAGGGATCCATGACCGAAAGCTAGTCTTAAAACAGTGCAAAGGAAACTGTTACACAATGTACTAGCCTCATGTTAGGTAGAAAGATTTCTAGCTTGCACCACAAGAAATGTAAACGTAACAACTAAACGGAATGTTTGTATTTACACAGTGATCTTATCAGTTATCAATCCATCATGGTCGAGGCTTCCAAGCCAAGTGAATTTTTCGGTGTATATGATTACTCCACTCCCCAATGATTGGATTAGGTAATGATTCATACAAGTACTTGAAAGGTGAGAAATGAACTTATTTCGTCATTTCTAAGATTGAAGATTTTTAGCGTCTACTAAATAGAACTACATCATCTATGTAATTTAGAGCTTCAGACATGAGATAAATCTTTGGTGAATCGAATGAAGAAAGCAATGTCTCTAGAAGCATCCATATAACAGAACTAAGTAAAAATTTGTGAATTCGAACAGATTCAACGAACATCACTTAATGTAGTCAATTTAAATGATAATTCTACATAGGAAACAAACTGCTAGTGTTTGAGCAAATTTTTTTGTAGGCGAATATATTGTATTGGACACCTTTCAATGACAGACTTCTATAAATGAACAACAAAAGTTATCTTACGGTTTGCTTCCATCAGTTACTTTTACTGAGTTAAAGTTGTCTTCCTAAAGATATGGAACATCCTAATTCAATACCTCATTTATCAATGAAATCATTTAAGATAAAACTAACTTCAAAAACCGTAATTTGAGATGGGATTTAATTTTCATATCATTTCTTATATTTATTAGAAAAAGGTAATTATTTAAATATGTACCAATTCTTCCAATGATTCTGCAATACCAATAATCACTATTAGGATGTTGCTTTTTCATACTATGACCACATAACACAATCTGATGTATCTCAATACTAGTATCACGATTCTGCTAGTGTAAGAAAAAATATTCGCTGAATCATTTCAAAAAAATCCACAAGTTAATTTATAACAGAAATAAATAATTTCTACAGATGATAATCGAAATAAACACAAACTAAAAAATGGTCCCTCTATATTGATTAAGTTAAAGAGTGATTTCACCTGACTCACTAGTAGAAACTGTAATCAGCATCAATTAACACAGCTAATCACTAGTTATAAGTATTTTGTAGTTTTCACTTTTGAAGATTTTCATCGACATCAGGAATGTACCAATAATAAAATCAAATATGAAGATCAACAAACGGATCATTTTACTACATATAAAGGGCAAATAAAAAACCACAGTAACATTACTAAGGCTGCTTTGAGTAGGCATAACCCATAAATCAGCAAAATCATCTCAATCAATCTGGTAGGAATCAAAGGATAAAAGAATGATGAAAGAAGAAAAGCCAAACATCATCTATAAAATGAACCTTTTCAACTTAAAGAAGCATTACATCGAACGAAGCGGTTACACTCTTCATTTTCGTCTGAATGAACACAATCTATTTGGCAAGCGCCGTGGTGTGTCTCCATTATTTCAGTGGTCGTTGGCAATTATGCATAAACGTTTGACTGGGAAAATGCTGAGAATTTGGATGGAGGGAATACAAAGAAAATTAAAGAATGTTTGTAAAATTGTCACTCAGGTCAATCAGTAATCAATAAGCACACCTAAATCAGTGAGGTTCACCGACTAATCAGAAACATCCTGGGGGAATATGAAAACAAGAATCAGGTGAAATGTTGAAGACTTTCGAAATAAGTATACTGACAGTTTCAAGGACAATGACACCAAATCAAAACTACATCCATAACATGTGTGGAGATTCGGGCATCTAGCTTCTATCTGAGGCTTCATAATTAAATCATTCAGCTCAGAGAATGGAACACCACAAAGATCATGATTTCTTGGATTATTATTAATTGTATTTGCTTAAAATTTGATTAGTATACAACTGATCCAATTTGTTTACCTTTTTCAGCTGGCTCTAAGTATATTCGAAAGAATGAGCAGTTGGCTTTAACTTAACTACCTCTTGATCAAAATACACGGCCCAGACAATTTAAGAAGCTAATTAAAGCTAATAGTGGGACGACTCTTACTGTGACCATTTTCTAACTAAAATTGCAAGAAATGTTTTATACATTTCCAAAGCATTTTAAACTAAATATAAAGGTGTACATAATAAGTTAAATCTAATAATCAATCCAAAATTAATAAAGATATTGACCTCGTTTTACAAAAACGCAGATAACAATAATTAAAATACTTTGAAATCAATAGCGACTAGATTTTAGTAATCTTATCTCATTATCTGTGGTAATGAAATTCTATGAAACGTACAACATTACATCTGAAAATATTTGGTGAAGAATCATTCTAGGAATATTTTCAACTACTCGAGTCGTTTTTAAGTAGTTCCATCCGTTTTGCCGAAAAAGTTAACTTGGTTCGGTAATGCTTTGAATTTTAATTCATATTCAAACAGCCAACGTTGTTCATAATATTAAATACATCTGGTAATCACGGTTACTAGTTTAAACGCAGTATATAGTAATCAACAAACACTCTTATATCGGTTCATTATTGGCATAAGATCACTTTATACTGATTACAAGCTTAACTAACTAGTTTTATGAGTTAATATTCGGGATGATATTGATTACTGCAATTGCTTCAGATTTGTGTTTTCACTTTTACTGCAAGATGGATCATTCCCAAGATAGATTATTTAATCCTAAATGGATCATATGCCGTTGTAGAATATATGACTTATGGTTTAAATGAAAACAACCAAAGCTTTTTCATGAAAGAAATTGAAAATATGACTATCACAGTCTACTGTAATTTTGTGTTGCTTAGTTGGTGCCTTTTGAGAGAAAAACCTAACTTGGTGCAATAACTAATGACAGAGTACTGTGTGTTAAGAAACCGTAATCATTATTATTCAAACGAAAACCTTTTGCTTATGATATCCCATGGTTCATTGTTCGATCAAAAATCAGTTAACTAATTATAATATTGAAACGGTATTTCTAGAGAATCTAATAAGGTATTTGTTATAACTTGTCGTCTGAATGCTTAATGTCTTGGCTCTTTCAATGCTACTTTTTGTATCTGGTCGTCTCTGATTGTTATTTCGGAAACGCTTATCACATATACTCGGAACGAGGGACCTCTGCAATTCCCACGACGCGAAAGTAAGAACACAAAGACTGGTATAAGTGATGGTTTATTAGCCCCGAAAACACGACGACGACGATGATCAAAATAGTCTAAAATACACTGGTTTATGTATTGATTTTACACGCATTTTGATTAATAATTAGAATGTAATTCACATATATGAAAAAATACTTAGAGTTATAACAAATCACTCCCCCCTTTCAAAAATGAGACATCTTCTTCGGGTTTACTTGCAACTTTATAACAGGTTTCCTGAGGCGTTCGGACTTTCTTGGTCTCCAGAGTTCATGAGTGTCTGTTGGGGCTCCTGTCATTGGAGTGTCTGTAATTATATCTAGTGGAAGCCCCACTTGATTATCTTCTCTATCTAGAGTTTTTTTCTCTCTGTGTATTTGAATAATATGTCTAAACCACATTCCGAAAGTCCAACGCACTTTGTATAAAACATTTCCCATTCTCTTCTCAATGACTTCCGGTTCCCAACGATTTTTTCCAATGTATGATTTTGTTGTATTTGGTCGTCGCTGATTGCTGTACTGATTGCTGATCACTTATACTTGGAACGAGGGATCCCTGCAATTCCCACGATGCGAAGTAAGAACACAAAACTGGTATAAGTGATGGTTTATTAGCACCAAAACACGACGACGAACGATGATCAAAATAGTCTAAAATATACTGGTTTATATATTGATTTTACACTCATTTTGATTAATAATTAGAATGTAATATGAGTTATAACAAATCACTTACTGAGTATAGTTCATGTCAATCGAATACAAGAATATCGTATGTTATTACATAATAAAATATCATAAGAGAAGAGAAAACAATTACTACATTGAGTAATCATTATATTGAATCAAAATGGAATTAATGTTGAATAAAACTCATAATAAGTAAATCAATCGAAAATTGATTTTTTTCTTCCCATCATATCATATCTCATATATGAAACATGGATATGAGGCTATCGGTTTTGGGAACAGATTATAATCAAAGGGATTTTATTTTGGGAATTATCTTGTGTATTTACCGAATAAATAAAATACACCATTAATGTCCCGATAATATGATTAGTCTCAGTTGAATAGATTTAAAATGTCCAACCACGTTTACTGTAAAATTAACGCTGATATTTGAAAGGAATTTTTAAAAATGAACACTGATAAAAATATGGACGATGTTCTATCTCATTCTTGAGCATGTTTGAATTGATTCTCAATACTAGTTCATTAAAACAAAACAGTGTTTATAGCTACTTTAGTTATTCAGAGGAGGGACCGAAGTGACTATTTATCTTAAATTCTACGTAAACTGTATGATAGGTCGATTGATTTGAAAATTCCTTACATGAATCCTGGTCAAATTATATGCACAATAAGGTGGTAGAATTGGTTCTTCCCTAAATCTTTGTGGAATAGATTTTTAGAGTAAATAACTGCTTCCTTAAAGCTTAATATGAGTCGCGAAAACAAAATTTTCAGTTATACGCAAAATATTCAACTAGTATACTCTGATTATGTGTTACTTACCAAATAGCATATACCTGATAAAGATTATAAATAAAGGTCACAGAAATATGTGTTTCCTTTCAATATGCAGACATTGTCTGTGACCCAGGTGGGTTATTATTCAACATTTTGCCTCTAGTAATTTAGACAATATTTCACATTTTTATCAATAAATTTGTAAAAAGTATTCACGTTCATTAAGTTTCTGACTTTGTTTACCAATAAACGAACTCTCAGATTCCCATTTTACATAAATAGTTAAACCATATTTTATTAAATCTTATTCGTGGTATGTGATTTATTAGTAAACAGATAAGGATTTATAATAAATTCGTTGATACTGATTCCTTGAAGCTTAGTTGCAGTTTTACATGAAACTACACGTATAAAACTAGTTGGCTCAATAGGGCTGTGTTCAAAAGGAAACAAATATAAAGTTCAGGGATTAAGTATATGTCCCGAGTAAGTCAGTTACATAGTTTATTTTGCGAATTATATACACAAATAAAATTACTTATTAACTCCTATTTCGATTCATCCGGTTTTATTTATTGACTAAACATTTAAAACTATGTACAATTACAATTATTATTGTGGGTTTCGTTTAATTAGTGGTTGCTGAATAAAGCAGTCTTCATCAGCATTATGTTTACTTCTTTGCATCGACATAACAGTTTCGTTCCGTTTCAACAAGTAGATGGTAGCCATTATTCAGCAGTCATAGTAAATAGTCGTACTGGTAGCAACAACCGAGATATAATTCAACTAATACTGTGGTGAACGAGAACACAAGTGGGGACAATCGAATGTAACTGATTACAAAATTATAGAACCTCTTAGCAAAATCTGAGAACCATACAATGAATACTTCATTTGCAAAATGTCAATCAGTTGTCTCAGACTTCATTGTCTTTTCGTTTCCACACCAATCATTCTTTGTTCTCGTTCTCTTTTCTGTGATCTTCTTAACCCTCTGCCTCCAGGCTACTTATATCTGTCGACATCAATAGCACACACTACAATACTACAGGGATATTATTTTTGTTTCGAATCATTACAAAATATATCACATTAAAACCAACCAACTGAACATATCGTTTCTTCCTTTTTGGGTAGCTCATAATTTCATCGGTTGAAGACAAGTTTATTTGGACAATAGAATTGTTAAACTTTTCCAGCTAGCAAAAGAAGTTTAATTTATCATTATAAAATAAAATTGTCTGAAGTTACATATCTTTCATTGTGTTCAGATCATAATTTGATTATTTAATTAAGTAATGAATTAATATTTTTTGAAGGATCTTACTAACAGTGTCTGTGATTGTGAGGAAGGATATAGAGGTGAAAAATGTGATATACCTAGAAGTATTTGGTCACATTGGTCAGAGTGGACATTTTGTGAACAGGATTCCGGATCTACTGGACAGAGTACAAGGATACGTTTATGTTTATATGAAAATGAAGAGGATTGTGTGGGTGAATTGGAACAGGTAGATCACTTGACTTCTTAAAATACATTCTTTCGTATATAACTTTTCTCTGTCGAGCTACTAAAACATAACGATAAGTCAGTTTTACATATAATATGTGGAAAACGCCTACCTATGCAATTAATGGTAACTAACACGAAACTTTTTTCTGGTGTTTCTTGACAATTATTTATATATGTTTACATTTCACTTCACCTTAGGTACGATTATGTGAACCAAATATAACTTTTACACAAAATGCATCTATTTCAGAAATAACATGGAAGGATTTTACACAATGGAGTGAAAACGTAATGTTATACACTTTGGTTTATGTGGGATTCGTAGCTATATTATTGAAATTCCTAAATTTGTATAAGCACCATTGTCCAGATTTAAACAAGACGTTATGATATATCTCAAGTGTATTTTTTACTGTATTAATCAAAATGTCAAATCTATTAATCATAAAAATACAGTAAATCAATGGGTTACAGGTTAAAAGTGCTCAAATAAATAAAAGATTTAATCCATTCTAACCATCAGCTTATTCGCAGAGACATAATTATTAACTAAAATGTACCACTGAAATTTCGGTTCACTTGAATTTTTTTTATAGATAAGCAGAATACTATTGTACAAGTTTATAAGTAATAATACTTAGTTATTACAGCTTTTTTCAACAAGTCACTTGTACGCTTTTAATGTAAGTAGTGGTTCAGTATAAAAGACAAATAAATGAGTGGTTTTTCTTCTTTCCTTACTCTTGTCTTTAAATAAATTGTGTTAATTTATAACTTCTGTTATCACAGTGAAGATTATACACCGTTTAGGCTTTATTTTAACAAGAATATTAATTGATCTTCCGAGAACAAAAGTCAAAATGACCTTGAAAGATACGAGTGACGACAGCATGGGAATCTAGAGTCCGGTAGTTTATAACCACTTCCTCTGTTGTGATTTGTAATCATCACAATCAGACAAAGTTCAGGGATATTTTCTGAATCAATAAAAAAAAGATTTATACTCATCATAGCTACATCAAGCATTACACTAATAAGTAGATAATCATTTTCTAACTTTCAAAACTTAAATAACGAACTAATCTTAGCTAAACTACCACTAAAAACATGAGAGCACTAGACCGTTGGTTCTTTGTAGTATGGAACACTTCAGCAGAGGTAATCCCGCATCCAGGTATTGAACCCCGTACATTTGGTTTCGCGCACGAACGCTTAACCATAAATCCCCCTATACAACTAATAACAACCATCTGCTCACTGGTGACTACCTTGAAGATCCAACTTATGGATTTCTAGTAATAAACCATGACCAGTGAAGTTCAACCTGTGACGAGTGTGAGACAGTTATCCATCACAGTCTGTGGACGAGGGTCGCGCAATATCATGAAGTGATTGAAGTAGGACATCAACACTTTTGGATGCGGGCTCGCTTTGTGATTTCAACTGAAAATTCGACAATTTCCACAAAACCACAAACTAATAGTTTGTTGATTTGTCTATGATATAAAATGAGATTAACTAGGTTCAGTTAAAAATAATGTAGTAAAATAGATATACTGATTCTGACGGTTCATGAATCCTTAAGTTTAGTTTTTGGACGAATAAGTATTTTAATTTTATTTCGTGAGGGGTTTGTAGGTTGGATACAAAAATAATTAAGATAATTGTCTAAATATTTTCATAAAGCGTAAACAGATGAAACAAATTTTCACCTCTAATGGTGAAATAGGACGCAAGCATTAAGGTGAAAATGATTTTGTATTTAGTATTAAGAACCGATGAAGCGCATTCAGAATTGGAAAGTGGAGAGTGCAGCGATCATTGTCATAGGTTACTTCTGTCGAAAAACACATCACGATTTCATTTATTTACAACCACAATCCAATAATTAAAACGAATAAAAATCAGGTTTATTTGAGAATAGTAAGAGTATTCAGCATTTTGTTCTTTCCTGATTATTGGATGTACTCTTGTCATCGTAAAATGTAAAGTTTGACTTGAAATGATCAAATATATAAACCACAGTTATACCGTGTAGAAATAATATCGCATATGGATCAAAAAGCTTCAAAAGTGAATGGATATAGATTTTCGGTAGATATTAACCAGTAATATTCGCTTTCTTCAGTTGGGTAACATAGTTTAAGTATTTGGAAAACTTACATTTGTAATCGATAGCAGACGAAACTAGACTGTTTACAGTTGTATCAATTATTCCTTAAATACTTAATTAAATTTCTCTAGATAAAATATATTCACTAATTCTATATTCAAGTTGGTGAACATTCTTAATCATTCGGTTTAGGATTACGTTTTAAACGTTGTCATGGAAGTAGTCAGTAAACGTTATCTTTCACGTAAAAAACCCATTTCCAATAGTATATTCAACTTTGGTTTATTTTAACTAGATTTCCCTAACACATTTCTGTTTTTCATAAGTCATTGTTAAAATTATTCTGAAAATAAATAAACTATAATTGATCATAGTTGAACTTCATTCATCTGATTTAGAATCCAAATTTATCATAACTCTTGATGTGTCTAGTAAATAGACCATTAATAATTAGTTGGTTGATTGTGGAGATAAAATCAAAATGAATAAACTTCAGCTTCCGAAAAACTAGCAACGAAGAAAATTCAGATATCTATATTGTTCATATTCGAGACTGCTTGGTAGTGCACTCTCAGTATCCATACGAGGAATTTCAGCTCTCGAATGGAGTGTATTCCTGTCAGACAAATCGATCAATACCCTGTTGTCCATATTTTTAACGTCACTCAGTTCGCGATATACTGTAACAACCATTCCATATCACTGGTAATACTTTATCGGTGATGTGGTTAAATTTCATCAGCTAAGACTTCTTATCACAGCATTTGGTATTAATCTCAAAGTTAACCAGTAATAAGGACACTATTATTATCTGATGAGTTTGTTGTAAAATCGTCTTCCAAATCAGTTCCATTCAAAGACGAAACAGTTGGTTTTTGATGGTGTACCACCAAAAGGTAGCTCGTGCTGAAAACTAGCTCATAATTATTATTACATGGATAAACAAATAGTACATTCATTTATTTTGTTTGTCCACTACTCAATAATACTGCTAGAATACTGACTTAAAAATAAGTAAACAGTAAAAGTATGAAAATTAAACCTTTGAAATGGCTAAAATCTATTGATTGTAAGATCAAACTTAAACTGAGTAAATGTTAAGGATTTTAAAATCGATCCATAGGTATGTAAACATTCAAAGAATTATTGGATAACTCTTCAAGCTGGTTTGTCAAATAAGCAATTTCGCTAATTGAATTAACCTGTTATCTGTTCTTTTTTACATTGATATTCTACCCCTCTCCAAAAATTTGTATATTTCTACTTATACTACAAATATATATATATATATATATATATATATATATATATATATATATCTTATTGATGTAATCTATGTTATTGCTCATGGTTGAATGACAAGATGCAGCTGAATAGGTCCACATCAAATACTCCATCCCTGATACAAAATAGTGCGAAAACATCTCTAATATTCAGTTTAGATACATAATTATGACTAACACAATAAAGTCATTAGTCTCAAGCTGGTGACTCATATATATTCAGTCTTTGAATATCCATTATATGAGTAATGGATTCAATGAAAATGTTCTGTTCGTATTAGACCAGCATAATTCCAATCACTGTACAAACGTGATTACATTATCCAGTATACAACAGTTTGATTTCACTATTGCATTCCATAGATTTTTGCAACCAATTTGTTGAATGGAAAGGAAATTTTTGTTGATTAGGTGTTCTTTTATTAAATCAAAAGAATATTAATGACCATATTTCATTAAACAATATTGAATGGAATGATCTAATCAATGAGAACAATATTTGTTGATGAATGAATAGAATTGCTTCATTCATTTGTTAATTCGATTCTTTTCAGTGAAATATATACATACTTTTCTTTATTTGTTTGCTACAATTTAAATAAAATAACATATACATTCATTTGTTGTTAAAGATTAATTAAATGAATTTGACCGATAGAATACTTAGATGAAGCACGAACAATGTTTGGTGGTGTGGTTACTGCTCATTCTAATTTTTTTCAGTTAATTGTTGATGCATGCTTTTATGCATATTTACTTGAAAAAGTGAGCGAATAAAATTTCAATATATATTTCAATAAATATTTGCTAAATGTACTGTTTGAAGCTGCTCATTAAGCAGTTATTTCTGTCTCACTTGCACTGAGTGTATAAGGTAACAAAAAGGATAACGTTTAGATGTCTTGATGATGTGCTGATGACGCGTAAAATAAATTTAATGTTGGTAAACTATCGGGTGATGTGAAAGATTTAACCGCTAGTACTAAATATATGGTAGCAAATGAAAAATTGGGCCACTGTCAAGTTTGTCGGAGCGTTGACCGTTGCTATTATTCGTAGGATGCTTTTATAAGTGATTTTTCATGAATTAAATAATTTTATAGAATAGTTCTGATAATATTTAAGCACAATATATTTCTGGATACGATTTGCAGTGGTGACAAAAGATCATAGATCTTATCAGAATAATTCAGTCATCAAACTCATCTGTTTCGATTAAGTGTTTTAAAACGTGCTTCGGAGGTTTGGTAGAATAAACTAGCTAGGTCAAACTGATAGGACAGAATAATGATGGTCTGGAAACCCAATGAAACAAACATTAAGAAAGGTTGAAAGGTATTGCAGGTACCCTAAATGGTTTCAACCCCTATTTATAATGTTGTATGGATTGAAAAGTCAAGACTGTAAAAGGACACCCTAATATGAGCGGTTGAAGTATTATCAAAATCACTCAATCAATATAAAGAAAACACTTGTATACCTGATCAGCAAAATCAAACACTTCCATATGTACCATTAACACTGATTACCTTGCCTTCAAATTTTACCGGACATTTCAGGAATTTTGATTGAGGCGTCATCCATATGAAGTGAAATCTACAGCTTTAGCGATCAATGTTAATTTAATAGCTGACTTTTGTTCATCAGTTGTGTTCTCTACTTAGTTTATAAACAATACCGAGTCATTAAAAAAATCATAGCCAGAAACTAGGTCTAACTAGTTTTTCTATGATGCAAATAAAAAAGAATACTGGTGATGTCAAATATGTCATTTCAAAAAAAAATATAAACAGTTGAGCATTCTGTTACTAATATGAATTAACAAAACAAATGGAAAAAATTCCTAATTTAATTATGTACATACACAATAATAAACTAATTACTAAAATTTATGTATTCAAATAAATAGTTTATTGAGGTTTCCATATTTTAAAGATGATTTAAATCAAATATAATAATCAACTGAAGAAGTATGAGTGGCATAGGGCTTTGAATAGCAGTTTTCTTCCAATTTATAACTCTAATGGTGCCAAACAGTTATGAATTAAAATTAGTGTTTGGCAACAATTGTATGTGCAACTTATTTTCAAAATTCGATTGGACGATTTCGACTAGTAAGTGAGAATTGTATTTATACAAAAAAAAATCACATTC